AGAAAGAAAGAAAGAAAGAAAGAAAGAAAGAAAGAAAGAAAGAAAGAGAAATACACATGTTTAGGATTGATTTCAGATGAATGATCCGTCACTTTTAAACAAAGGCACTGAACATTGTGGCCATAGGGGTTTACTTGTGATAGAATGTTAATCACAGAAGGTTCTCGGAAGTCTTTCCCATGACTAAATTCCAAATTTTGGCAGGATTGATTTGCATGCCGCGCCATGAGTCAGATATAGTTATGCCAAGAATTTGAGAATGATTCCGAATATTCACTAAACATGTATAAATCCTTCTCACATTATTTCTGCCATGGGAATAAATTGTCTGACTGTAGAACTCAAAACAAGTAAGCTTGAATCCAGTATAGGAGTTAATGAATATACTATATATGATCATCTATTATAGATGTGAATGAACACTTAGGAAAAGTTGTAGATAATGGGATCATGCGCAAATAAGAATTATTGGTAACTTTGCTTGGGAAACAAAGATGGAAACCAGAATGCTAAATGGGAGACACTAAGATGCAATGTTGCAAATGTTGTTCCATCAGCACACTGTGCACCGATGATGTTACCTAGTTTGGTAATGAAAGGTCTGCAAGAAAACAGCCAAGAACAGAGAGCACCATGGGCCCCTCGTTGTTCAATCAGCTTGATGAAGCTCTTCAATGCAGCAAAGTATCCATGAAGTGTTGACCTGGAGCCCATGGGCACTTCTCCACTGCAAAGACATGGCTTCTACACATGCACAGGTATAACTTATGATAAGTGAAGCACTGCAACTGCCCCGCTATCTGGAAGCATTTCAAACTTAGAGGATGCACTTTGAAGTGATTCCTTTGCATTTTCATCTGACTAACAAACTGTTTGAAGAAGAGGACCTGACGTGGGGTGCTCACATTGCAGCCCTGGTCAAAAGAGCCCAGCAGAGATTATACTACCTGAGACTTCTCAGGAAACAACAACTGCATGAAAAACTGCTGGTGACCTTCTACCGCTGCACCATGGAGAGTATTTTAAATTACTGCACCTGTGTATGGTTTGCTAATTGCACTGTGGCAGATAGGACAGCACTCGAGAAGGTTAATGCAATTGCCCAGAGGATCATTGGTTGACCTCTCCCCTCTTAGGAAGAGCTTTATAGCTCCCACTGCCTTAAGAAAGTTCAAAATTTTCTTAAAGAGCCATCTTGGGCAGGGCACTCTTTTTTTGAATTATTACCACTGGGCAGATGGTACAGGACAATAAAAACAAGGACAAATAGGTTGAAAAAGCTTCTATCCCAGGGCAGTAGCTCTGTTGAATTCTATTGTATAGTGCAATATTAATGCAATTTCAGGGGTTTTCAATTCAATTGTATAAATGTGAATTGTATAAATGCGAATTGTATGTTTTTATGTATAATGTACACTGAAGATGGCATTTAATTTCGTTGTACAAGGTGCAATGACAATAAAGTAAACTAACTAACTAAGAAATGCTATCTAAAGCTTATGGAACAAAGCACTGTAGGAAAAATTTGTTAACGTAACTATGACATCCGATATCAAATCCTAAACTGTATAATAATAAGATAATAATAAGGTATGTGAGTTTACAGTACAATCCTGTGTAAATATACTGACATTTAAATCCTTCTAATGTTAGTAGGACTCCAGTATGTGTTTGTTTTAGACTCCAGTTGTTTGTATACACTTGCCTGGTGTTAAATGAAGTTATTCAAACTTCCTTCTCCTGACATACATAAGAATGTACTATTTGTCAGTAAATAAAACAACTAACTGTTTATCTTCAACTCCAACAACCTAAACATGCTAATTAAACTCCTGCCAGTAAAAACAATTTCCTTCAATATGTCTCATGGAATACAGAAAGATGTCTGAGGCCTTAAATAGGAACTCTAAAAATGAATTGAATTTATAAGTATTCTTTTAACATTTTAAAATAATTTGTAAATGTTAACTTTAACTTTAATTTGTTCCATATCTCTCTGGTATCTCTCTACACATATGCAAATCAACCAATCTTGCCTTTAGGCAAAATGAAATGGTTTCCCATAGCATCATTCCCGTTCTAATCCCAGCTGGCCAGTGTATGGTTTTTTTCATTAACCATGGACATTTACAGTCATTCTGTTTATTTTAAATTCTATACAATATACCTCTGGATATGTCCATATATAATAGACAGCAAGCCTGTCATTCCTATATTGCTATAATCATGCAGACCTTCCTCCCTCTAACCATTTTCAGGTGAAACGTCCATTGTGCACAACAAATTAAATTAAGTACACTCACATACTGTAATTTGGACAGTATTTTTTCTTTAAAAACCGCATACGCATATTTTATGAATTTGTCATAACTCCATGTGTTAGGAATCAAAGGAATTATTTGCTTTGTTAACTGTACGGGAATATAATTTGCAGTTTGTTTTCAAAAGTGGAACCACTGTTTTCAGATATAATTCCTTAGGAAATGTGTTTTCAATTATCTCCCACCCTGTTAGTCTCAGATGAACCACACAACTTATTTTAACAAGTTATACTAATTTGCTCATGAAGATGCTGTCTCAACAGCCCCCTAGTTTCCATTTCCTGGACAATGGCTGGCCTGTAATATAATGGATTATTCATTTCTGTATGAGTTCTATGTAAAAGTACTCCATTTATAAATTCAGTATTTTTAAATTCACAAATTCAACTATACTACCTTTCAAGGATTCTATACCTTTGCCTTCTTTCTTTCACTAAGTTTATTCCTGAGTCCACACAATATATTCTGATTTAGGCATAATTTGTTGCAAACTGACTTGAACTAATCAGTTTAGCAATCCTTCCTGAATTTTAGAAACAAAGAATTATAAGATCAATGATAAGATCACTGGTCTATCCAGTCCAGGACTATTGTTAGCAAGGGTGAGAAAGAAAATCCATTCCAAGATCCAATTCTCCTTCTGTCCAAATCTCATCCACATCAAGAGATGTTGGAAAGAAAGGTTTCTCTTATCTTCTACAGATTCTTCTTCTGTTTAAATAAATTTCAATACATTGTATAAGCAGAGTGGGCAGAATAAAGCATTAGCATGGAAGAGGTTTCTTTTGAGGTCCTTTATTAAGGACCCAAGGTGGACATTATTCACCACTAGATTGGTTATTGCTGGCCTAGGATTCATAAAAGAACCTCAGTCCCATCTGGAGATGACAGGGAATGCTGATCCATTTTCTTCTCTCCTAAACTCTTGAACAAAAAGTGTTCCAGTCCTTCTAGAATCTAGATCAAGGATCTTCAAAGTTGGCAAATTTAAGACTTGTGGATCTCAACTCCCAGAATTCCTGAGCTAACATGATAGGAGGAGGAATTCTGGGAGTTGAAGTCCACAAGTCTTAAAGCTCTCAAGTTTGAAGATCCCTATTCTAGATGATACCATGAACTTCTTATGAACAATGAAGGAATGAAGTGGCTTTTAGGAAGTTGAGTGGAAAATTGCTTACTTATACAAATAAATTCCATCTCTCTTACATTCTGGGTAGGAAAAACCGTGATGTCTAAATAAATAAGTTTTTATTAATTGCCAAAGTTGCCAAAACCCAGTGCAAAGACAAGGAAGGAAACAGAACCTTCAACTTTTGGATAGAAAACTAAAATGATTCTTGGTTAATATGTAGAGATCCTTATAGTAGACAACAGCAAGTCTTGCAGAAAGCAATTTTCCAATACAAGGGAGCCATCTGGTAGATGTTTTAAAAAGTTTTAAAGTAAGTGCAAGAATTAATTTCAACATCTGAGGGGTCACGTGTGATCTTTTGAAATAAAGTTGGATTTGAAAACCTGGTATCTCTCTGGCACAGAGTCAACATTTGGCAGTTTTAGCTCTCAGTCACCAATACAAAAGACAACAATTTACATTTTTTTCTCCAATTAAAATTGATGTGATGGTGATAGCTCTTATACTGCTGGTTAAGACCCAATGTTTTCTGTTATGTAGTTTGGACTATGTTAGCTTCATGTTTGTCAAAAACACTCTTGTTGGCTGAGACTGACTAGATGAAGGCTTCCCTGCTTGGTAAACACATTGACTTTTTGCCAATTTTGACATCTAGGTATCTTAGTTCATTCTTTTCTGATTGTTCAACACTATTTTATGCCATCAAACAATGCACTCTTCCCCCTCCCCATACAATTTAATTACACGCTGACCAAAAAATCCATCCGTTTTGATCATCTTGCTTATGGTTATAAGTAAGCATCCCGTTCCTCATTCAGCTGCCCTCTCAATCAAGGAAGAGGGCCACTGGTTCCTTTGCATACATACAGGAGATCCCACATTCACTGATGAACGTTTGGGAAAAGATCCATCAGAAACCGTAGACCTGGCCTAGCAGCTTCCAACCTAAAAAGTGAATGAGGGGAAGGAGCTGTGTCCAAGAGTGCCATTTCGACTGGGCCTCACGTTTACAGGCTCGTAATTGTATTTATAACTATTTAAATTGGTTCTTCATTTGTCATTTTTCGTGCCCTATATTTTTTCCAAGGGTAGTCCTTTGTTTATCTATCATATCTCAAGGCCTCAAAGCCTGGACATGTTTTGGATCTCTGAGCGCCTGCCTGCCTTCAACTCAGAGGCATGTAAACTGTTGCCATGCTCTACTGTATTTCTTCTTCTATATCCTGTCCCACGCTTGTCTGTCTGCTACGGTATTATGCCCAGCAGCCCATGTTAAGTCTTAATGAACTTTCCGAAATTCTTCCTCTGCTAGCCCGCCTTCTTTGGGACCTTCTGCCACAATTTTTAATGGTGCAAAAGCAGAGCCTGAAGACCGCCACCTGCTGGATAAGGAGCCCGTCGGCTAACCCTGTTTCAATCCTCCACCTTTCAGGCAGCAGAAGCAGCTCTTCGAGCCGGGCAGAGGATCGAAATACTGATCTAGAAGCGGCCACCATCCCGGGTTCCCGTCTCCGAAACGGCTTCAGCGCCCGAAGCGGCCGAGCATCGCGCCTATCCGACCTCCTCTCTTCTCCTCCTCCTCCTCCGGCGACCCAAAGGATGCTGGCCCCGCGAAGTCCCGGCATCCCTCTCAGCCAATCAGAATCGCCCGGGATTCCCTCGGCCGGCCCAGGCGGATGCTGCGCCCACGTTGGGCCTAGGCATTGGGTTCCGGCGAGCGGCTTGGCAGATGGCTGGGCGCACAAGCCGCGGGTGGCTGTGACCTTGAGGACAGGAGGTGGTGGTGGTGGTGGGGCGGCTTGCCGGCTCTTGAGGGGAGACGGGCGCCATGGGCAACGTCCCGCCGGCGCTCAAGCATTGCCTCAGTTATCCCCACCTCCTCAAGGAGCAGCTGGGGATCAGCGAAGCAGCCCAGCAACCGACTGTTCTGCAACAGCCTGGGCAGGTACCCGGGTGGCGGAAGCCGCAGCTCCAGCCCCACGCAGGGGAAGGGGTGGGGGAGAGCACTCGGGGCTTCTGGCTGACCAGCTGCCACTCAGGCAGGGAGGGCAGTCAGAGGGTCCCTGAGAAGGTTGGAATAGCCTTCAGGTGCCCAGGGCTTTGCATCCTTGCTTCAGAAGGAGAAAGCATATCAGCCCAGTCCTCTTATTATTTTCTGCTAAGCCAGCCCTGGTATGCTTCAGGGGACAGGAGTGCTTAACATTAGTTATATTTTATTATATATTTTTAGTGTATTTTATTATTATTTCATTTATTTTATGTTATTTTAATTTTATTACAACTAGTAGTAGGGTTAGTTTTTTTCCTTTGTTGACATTATTCTACTGAACACCTAATTCTTGCAGTTCTATCTAGAGTGTGGCTGTAATATTATTTATTCCTTTTCACTATCTTCTTTACTTCCCCGTTTTATTGATATTATTATTATTTCATTAAACATGAAACTTAGTCAACTGAACCTCATCCACTAGAGCAGGGGACAGGGAGCCTGAAGGCCTTGAGATGTCTTCAGCTATTGTCATTTTTCACCAGCGGCCATGGTGGCAGGTTGCTGGGAATTGTAGTCCATCTGCTTCTGAAGTGTGTTACATGTTCCTCACTTGGCCCTTGCTATCCACAGTGTTTTTCTTCTGGAGATTATGAGCCAGCAAAAACACCTATCTCCTTTTAATCAATTGTTTGTAGTACTTTGTCTCAGTTTCCATCGTGACTCAGTAGAAATGAGTGGCCAAAAAGAAGAAACAGGCATTTAGAAGAATTAGATTTGAGTATCGTTGTGGTTTCTTGCTTTCACATCCAGAGAGAAAAAAGAACTCCAAGTGTCTTATTCCACTCCTGGTCATTTCTCATCTGTTCATTTCACAACTTTTACAGGATAAAGATATGATTTATGAAGATACATAATATTAGGTGCTAAAGTAACATAAGTATTTGGACATTATGAAGCTGAATAAAATGAAATATTACTTGAATGGCCTCAGAATTTAATTAAATGAAATAAACTCAGTGATATTCAATTATAAATAAAAAATAACCACAGTTCTAATGTTAGAAATTCAGTTACTGATATCTCATACTGGAGGAATCAAATATACCAGAGTAATACTACTGCTTGAAACCAGTTCATAAAGCTCATTTAAATTCTTTAAGGTAGGGATTAATTTAATACTCATATAGTGAATACAGTGTATCATCTCAATCCTGAAGATACACAGAATAAAAACTCTGCTGGAGACACACTGTCATCTGTAAATCTAAGTAAATGTTTTTTTAATAATATTTTTTTCAATGACTAAAATATGCATCATAATCACTATCATCAGCATCTTAGCCATTATCTGTCTACTGTAGGATGAAGGCCTTTTTCGCATGTTTCCAACCTATACTTTCCTGAGCTTTCTTTTGCCAATTGGGCCCACAATACTTGCTGATGTTGACAATCCATCTTGTTTTAGGTCTCTTTTGTGGACACTTTTTATCAACTGGGATCCATTCAATGACTGCCTTGGTCTACCTGCTGTCAGTTCTTGCTATGTGACCAGCCTATTTCCATTTTAGTTCTTTCACTGACTTGATAATATACTTATGTTTGTTGTCTAATCCATGTGCAGGTCTTTCTATCTTGTCTTTTAATGCCAAGCATGTATCTTTCCATGGCTCTTTTTACTACTTGTAGCTTTTGTATCAATTGTGAGATTCGTGTCCATGTTTCCCTGGCATACATTAGAGCAGGTGGCACACACTGATCAAAAACCTTTCTCTTCAGGTATAGGGGCAGGTTGTTCTTGAAAATTATGCTAAGCTTGCCAAATATCTGCCAACTGCATTTAATACACTGTTCAATTTTTCTTTAATGTATCATGTTCCATCGAGGCCTGTTGGCCAAGGTATATGTAGTGGTCTACTACAACTAGTTCTTCTCCAGATATAATTTTTTTTCTTTCTTTAGTGAATTTATTAAACATAACTTGGCTCTTTTTCAGGTTTATTTTTAAGCCAAATGATTGTTCTGCTTTGTGCAGCTCTTGTATGTGTCTTTGTAACTCCTCTGGGTCTTGTGAGAAGAGAACACCATCATCTGCAAATTTTAAGTGGTTAAGTAGGCACCATTGATTTGTATTCTGTCTTTTGCCCAGACTAGTTAGCAAAATAATTCTTCAAGACAGACTGAGAAATGGTTAGGTGATATTGTATCCCGTTGGCATACATCTTGTCTTATGTTGATTTCTACTTTAAGATCATTAAGGCAAATTGTTGCCATTGTTTTTTCATATATTGATTGTAGTAAGTTTATATAAACTAGTGGTCACAGTTTACACAAGATACTTGCAAATCTTTACTTGAGATGCCTCAGAGAAGAAAAAAAAAAACCTGATGCACGGAAAAATGCTGAAGTGATTCTTATACACAAGAAAGGGGCCCAAGATGGTATAAAGAACCATCACCCAATAAGCCATCTACAAGGTTTTCACCAAGATAATAGCAAAAAGAATATTGAGAACATTAAATGATGCACAACCAAAGGAGCAAGCAGGGTTCAGAAATGGCTACAGCACAATGGATCACATCCAGATTGTTCAGCAAATCATTGAAAGGCACAATGGGTACACCATGCCTCTGGGCATGGCTGTCATTGACTACGAAAATGCATTTGTGTGTATGTGTGTGTGTGTGTGCGTGCGTGCTGGAATAAGTCAAGTATCAGTGGGTAGCCCTTGCATTCATGCTTCGTTTCTACTTGTTTAAAGAATAGTGTGAAAAAAAGCCTAATCATATAAAATAGACCTGTATAGTTATTCTTAGTATGATAGAGAATTCTGTAAATGGCATTGTTAAAATACTAAATTTGAAGGTTGACCACTTGGATAACCAGAACAAGGTTAAACAAGTTATCCTGGTTATACACTTCTTTCAGAATTAAAGGTAGCATGAACAAATACCATAATGGATTTCCTTAGAGGTAATTTGGTGAAAAGAAATGCTTGGGTGTTTGCTGAACTATTTTGCCTTGGCCTAGAAAGATTCTAGGAATTAATTTCAAACCTCATTTTCTCTATTTCCTACGAGGAAAGAAAAAGGGAAAACAAAATGAAAGCATTTGTTCATAGCTTCCATTAGACCCGTAACCTTGCCATATGCATTGCATAGAAGTGGATTAGAATGGGGAAATATTTTTTCCTCTCTTTTCAGAATGAAAAGCTCATCTCTGCAGCTTTCAGGTTGATTGTACAGATAGATGCATAAAGTTGATTATGTACATTAAAAAAAACAATTTAAGATTGCCATTAAATGTATAATGTGACCTGAAGCCAGTTCTGACTCTTACTGTTTGATTCATCATCCTCACATAAAATACATCTCCATCATGTTTACTTCTTAAATATTTAGACATGTACTTTTTAAATGTATCTAAAAATACAGTGTGTGAAAACACCCTTAGGACTTTGAAGTTTTTTCCTGGTATATGAGGAGGTGAAGAAGAGATAAATCCTGAACATCAGAGGAAAATCTGCTTCCTCTTATGTACACATTCCTGATAAGTTTCAGTCTTGGAAGGCTTTATTATTTTAATTTTCCAAATTAAGTAGTATTTAGATTCGTAAATATCCCTTGGAGTGTTCTATTATTTCGGAAGTGTTTTGCTCTAATGGATTTTAGAAACCATTATTACTTCTGGCAATCTGTTCATTAGGATAAGATTTCCCCAAAAAGTATGGTTTTAATTTTAGGTTACTAAAAGTCTTAGATCTTTTGAGCTATTTTTTTGCTATATAGTTTCCATCATGTTCTTATTCACAGGCTTGCTATTTGCTTTCTGTGCAGTTTGCTTTTACACTGTTTTAAACTTTCTATTATTTCATTTTACATGGAATTCACTCAATTTCTTTAGAGTATACATTTGCCTATTTTTCTGTTTAATGTTACTGCTGAATCTTCTTTAATTGGATTATTCCTCTTTTTTAGTTCACCATAGATATATCTAGGAAGATTATACAGCTATACATTATACAAAGGGTTTTTTTGTTGTTGTTCCAGCGTTCTTCTTATATGTTACAATCAGTTTTTTGGGCCAACCTAGTTCCATTTTGGTTTACATTCACTAGATCTATGATGGTGTTGATTTTGAGCCAAGATACACATAGTGTGTATCTAAATGTTGAGTAGTGTGGTAGAAAATTAAAGAAGAAAAATGTGGAGAAGAAAAAAAATGCATTTGAGGTAATTTGTTTTATAAATCTATGTTCGGTATTGATTTTTGCTAAGTTATACCACCTAGGCTATGTATGTGTAACTTTTGCTCATTGATCAAAATTTTATTTTGTTTTATTTATTTTATTTTGATAAAATAATTACCAATGGATTACTCTTGAAGGGAATTCCTGTTAAAAAAAGGCATTTCTCCATATTATTACCTCCCCCCCCCAACTGTCTTACGTTGGAAACCACTATCCCTGAGATCATTGTGGTTGTTTGTGCTACATTCTCAAATAGTAATACATTTTGGGTAGGAATTGCATTGAAAATGGTCTAAATGGACTCTCCGCTATTAAGGAAACAAAGCCTTTTTTAAAAAGCAATTGATAAAAAAAAAGTTCAATTTGGGGATATGGATGTTCACTCGGGAGACACTGACTACACAGCTTTGTTTGCTATTTTGCCTTATTGCAAAATATTGTCTCTTCATAAACATTCTCAGTTATTTATGGCAGTTCCTTTGAACTTGAAATATGAAGCTCTCTTGGAGCTGTTTATCTGATTTCTTATAACTTTAGCCTGAACTTCTTTTAAGACCCAAGCATGAATTATGGAAGAGAATATGTCTCTGCAATGCATCTTTAAGTATGCCTAAGAGAGACCATTTACCTGGTACCCTAGTGACCCAGTGAGTGCAGCGTGTCAAATAAATAAGCCAGCCTTGGCATGGAGTAGGGCAGTTTCTGAACT